ACTTATGCTCAGACATGTACTTTAGCAGCAAGATAATTAAATTCATAAAGAGGGCTAAGTATTGTAAAGCTAAATAAGTAAATAAAACCTGAGAGAAGTCGTGCGGTAGAAGAAAACCGCTTTCATATTGTCCTCGGCATTGAAGAATATCTAATTTAAAGGCATCAGCTAAGTGGTGAATCTATTATCTGACAGTATTAGCTATCATATCTTAGAGCAGTTAATGAGAATTAGTGAAAAGGGTGATCCTTGCCAGTTGTCCTGGTGCACGCTGCCCCCTGGTGGCTCTTAATGCATCTTTGAGAAGGTAGACTCACCTTTCCTATCTCCTGCAGTCCATGTCTTCATCCAATCTTTTTTTTTTCTATTTCTTTAATTCCATTTGATTTAATCAAGTTATATTATCTAAATGTAATAGAGATATTACATTTGGGAGGAGTATTTCCATAAAATATTTTGAGAACCAAGTAGACTTGGATGGTTCATCCTAGCTGCTGTGTGACTGTGGGTAAGCTGCCTAACTTCTCTGAGCATTAGTTGTCTCATCCATAAAACAGAGCTTAGAAAACACAAAAATTAGCTCAGAGTATCATGGAAAATATGCGATGAGGCTGTATATAAAACCAACTCATAATAGTTAATATTCTTATCGTGCTCTCTGTTTTAGACATTCAATACTATCTAGCAATCTTTCTAACTATACATATTCCCACACACGGAGAATTTTACCCCGTTTACAAATCGGAAACCAAGGCACAGAGAGATTAAGGAACTTGCTACAGTCAACACAACCAGTAAGAGGATCTGAACTCATGCAACACGGCTCAAAAGTCCATACATTTTTTTTTTTTTTTGCGGTACGCGGGCCTCTCACTGTTGCGGCCTCTCCCATTGCGGAGCACAGGCTCTGGACGCGCAGGCTCAGCGGCCATGGCTCACGGGCCCAGCCGCTCCGCGGCATGTGGGATCTTCCCGGACCGGGACACGAACCCGTGTCCCCTGCATCGGCAGGCGGACTCTCAACCACTGCGCCACCGGGAAGCCCCCAAAATCCATACTTTTAACCACGACACAAAACCCGTTATCAGAAAATCTTCGTTGAAATAACGAACTAAGTAATTTCAGAAATGTATGATGAATATGCCAACAGGGGAAGTACAGACTTCTCTTTTCCAGCGTGTTAGTGTCGTTCGCACAGTCTATGAAGCATTTATGAGAACTCACAGGTCATGAAGCACTTCGTTCATTCTTCACCTCTGTCTAAACCATCCCGACCTCTCAAGCACAGGACGGCTGACCTCAAGAGAGAAAGCATTAATACTCCTGAGTGCAGATGGAGGGACTATAGCCCCGTGAGTCATATGCATTTTCAATTTCTTGATATTAAAGAAACAGGGACTTTCTATGCCAAGAATATGCAAGTAGGAAGTCAGAAGGCATTTCCCCTGCTCCAGCCTCCTGAACTTATTATCAGAATCTAGTAAAAGAGTTTGTTTCTATAACATAGTCACGTCTCTTCAGTCCATCTTCTCTGTACCCTCACTTCCGCAGCATTGCAGCATGAGTCCAGGCCCTTCTTCTTCTTCTTCTTTTTTTTTTTTTTTAAAGCAAATTGTCTATTTTTAGGTGTCAATCAGAAATACATTGAAAAATGTATGTTCACGCAAAAAGTTGTACATGAGTGTTCACAGCAGTGTTTTTCATAATAGCCCAAACTAGGAAGCATCCAAACGTCCACTGACAGATGCGCAGATAAATAAAATGTTATAACCATACAATGCAACATTACCCCGTATTAATAGCAATACGAAATGAAGTGCAGAGTCAATGCCACAACATGGATGAAAATGAGAAGGCGGTGATGTCGCACAGCTCTGCAGGTGTATGAAAATCATTGACTTGTACACTTTAAATGGACGAATGTACGACGTATGAATTATTTCTCCACAAAGCTGTGACGAACAGAGTGATACACTGAATAACTCCCATAAGGAGGTGAGTTCAATAATGTCAAATCATCAACTGTGTGCGGTTTCTCTTAAATAAAACACGGAGGCTAAATTAGAAAATACAAGAACAAGCGGAATGTGAACACATAAACTGGTACCACATCTAAGGGCATCTTTTCTATCATTTCATTGTAAGCATTTTTTTAAACTTTTAATCCATCAGTTTTGGTGAGATAGGGAAATTAATAAATGAATAGCTCTCTTACCTCCCAACTCAAACAATAATGCATTTCCCATTTCTTCTTCCTTAATTTAAGGCTTATTTGGGACATTTTAAAAATTTAATGGTATGTTTCCTTCAGTTAGTAAAATAAACTTTAAGCAGTAGTATTAAAAATCCCATGTTTACAAATGATAAATAGTGACATCTTCGGCCTTAAAGTGCTCAAGGAAGTCAGTGCTTTTGCACAGAGCTTCTACTTTGTTGACTTTATGATAGGAAAAACGCATGCGTTTTAAGGCAAATTCCCCCGTTGTATAAACGACTCCCTGGGAGTGAGGAGTTATACTAACTTTTGTGATAGAGTAGTAATTGAAATAATACCCTAGTGACTTCGAAAGTTATCTTACAAAGCTGCTAAAAGAATCGAAATGGAGAACCGTAGCTTAGCTGAAAGAGGAACTCTAGTTGCAGACCTAGAAAAAGCCAAATAAAGATCAAGTGCACCGTGGCCTACTCACTGCCCACAAGTTCCCTCTGCCCGCGTCCATCTCCCCTCACCCCCATCAGCAACAAATCAGATCCACATGTATGTTATTTTAAATTACAAAACTCTATGAGGTAGGTTAATACTTGACAGCTGAGGAAACCGAGGCTGAGAAAGGTCAAGAGGCCTTGAGAAGTAACAAACGGTACAAATCCTCAGACTCAGGAAGCCCAGCGAAGGCAGATGTGCTAGTAAACGTTTAACACCTGGCTCTCTGTTTCTTCTTTTTTTAAAGCCCTCATTTACAGTATTTGCCCGCTTCCTTAGTGTTTCCTACCATAGTGGGTTTCAAGCTACCAATGTGATATCATGGGAACACGCCTTGGGTTGATAGTTGGCTGTCATATTCTTCCTTCAGCATTTTTCTATCATTAATTAAAAAAACCTGACTCCACAGTCTTTAAAATTTACCATTACCCCCATTTCCACAAATGCTGGAGAGATTGCACAAGTCAGAGCCCCCCGCCCCACGTGCATCCCCTCCCGCTTAGTCACAACTGCAAAGCTGCGGCACCACCCCGGGGGGTATGGCCACCCCGCTTACTACCAAGGGTGGGTCCTCGTGGCCATCCGGCTGATGAGTACCCCGATTCCAGAACCCCCTTCCCAGGTCTGCTTCACATGACCCGATCTGGGGCGACTGTCTTGGTTTGAGTGCTCCAGAAGCAGAGCCTAAGATAAGGCTTTGGGTGCAGTTTATTTGGGAGAGGATGCCAGGAAGCACCAGTGGGGAAGTAGGGAAAGGGGACCAGGCAGGGAAGGAACTAACAAAGGCTGTGTTTTCAAGCACGTTTCTATTTAACTAGAGCTCAAACCCGAAACACTGGAAGCTAGTGGACACAACTTAGATGTGCCTCCTGCCCCCAGGGGTGATGGGGCTGGGGCTCCTTACCCACACATTCCCTGCAGGTCCTCTCGGGAGGTACAAACTCCCTGGCACTTCAGGTCTTCCTCAAATGCAGGCAGAACAGGTTTATTTGGGACAAGCAGAGATTTTGCAGACATCTTCTTTTCATAGACATGTTACAAACACACAAGTAATTTTTCTACTTCCCTAATTTGGATCCTTTGGTTACCGTCTGTTTTTTTTTTTTTTTTGCGGTACGCGGGCCTCTCACTGTTGTGGCCTCTCCCGTTGCGGAGCACAGGCTCCGCACGCGTAGGCTCAGCGGCCATAACTCACGGGCCCAGCCGCTCCGCGGCATGTGGGGTCTTCCCGGACCGGGGCACGAACCCGTGCCCGCTGCACCGGCAGGCGGACTCTCAACCACTGCGCCCCCAGGGAGGCCCCACTTACTGTCTTTTAATTTACTAATTTCACTTCATAATTCCTAATCATCTCTCTCTCTCTCTCTCTCTCTCTCTCTATATATATATATATATTCTGCCTCATTCTCTTTAACTCCTGCATTCTGTGTAAGGATGTTTCACAGTTATGCTTTGTAACTAGACTACGGTCCATTTGCATTTGTCTTGTTGCTGTGGAGGTTACTCATATCAGTGGTTACAAACACAAGGGGAAAATACTGAAAGGTCTCTGAGTCCTCCCTGTTCCCCTACGCACCACCTGGTACCATACCCTAGACTCAGCTACAGTTAAGTTTGTTTTTAATTCTTCTAGTTCTTTTCATTATAACTCTAAATAATATACATCCTGACCCATCAACCGTAAATAGCATATTTTAAAAGGATAAAATTTTACCTTCTCTTTCAGCTCCTAATTTTAAAACTTACATTACTTTTAGTTCTAATGGTGGAAGATTTTGTGACTTTATTTACCTAAGTCATTATTTATAAACTTACATATTCCCTATTGGCTCCCTGCAAAGGGAGATGAGGAAATTAGTATATTTACTCTCTCTCACCCCCCCACCAACGTTATAAGTCTGAGTTCTACTTTTATACTGTCAAGAATTTGCATTCGCCTCTGCAATTATGATTACATCTTTCAAACTTTGCCCATAATTGACTGAAAACACTCAGCAGCGTTCACGATATTAGGGGTACAGCAGGTCTGTAGGCAGCTCGCAAATGCCTTTCAGCTGAACCTTTTCTGCACCCGGGTCAGCCTCCAGCTGTCAGCACTCAGATGACTTGGTGTCAGCTTTGGCTTTTACCGGCCACCCGAACCTCCTCCGCTTCGCCCACCGCGCCCAAAGCCCCCGCCTCCGGAGACGCCCGAGGCCCCGCCCCGCGCCCGAGGCCCCGCCCCGACGTGACGGCTGGCTGCGCGCCGGCGCCGGGAGCGTGGGCTGACCCTCGTTGCCGCGCGCCGTGCGGGCTGCGGCAACCGTCGGCCGTCGGCGCGGCTTGGGCGGTTGTCTTGGAGAAGCAAGATGGCGGCGACGGCGGCCGCGGTGGTGGCGGAGGAGGACACGGAGCTGCGGGACCTGCTGGTGCAGACGCTGGAGAACAGCGGGGTCCTGAACCGCATCAAGGTTGGGCGGGAGGCCGGGGGGCCGGCGGAGGGGAGGCCGGCCGCGGGCGTCACAAAGGGGCAAGGGACGCATCCGGCGGGCCGCCTGGGCTGAGGTCCGAGCTCGCGGGCCACCTCGGGGCCGTCCGCGCTCGGGTCGAGGGTCTCTCCCGGGGAGCTTCCGGGCCGCGCGGCGGCGAGCGGGTGGGGGGGGCCCGGCCAGCCTTCGTCGGAGGAGGCCGACCGCGGCGTCCGGTGGTCGAGTCGCCCGCTACCCACTCTGGTCCCGTTCCAGGCCCGGTGGTCGAGTTGCTCCCCGCCCCTGGGTCTCCCCCGCCCCTGGGTCTCCCCCGCCCCTGGGTCTCCCCCGCCCCTGGCCTCTGCTGCTGGGCAGCGAGCCCCTCCCGCTGGCGGTGACGAGCGGGTGGCGGGCTGCTTCTCGGAGTGTACTTTGCAACCTTGACGCGACCGATGGGCGTCATGAAGGACCGGAAATCAGGATCGCAGCCAGAGTGATGGGTGCTGACAGTGCCAGGGGGACAGACGGTGGGCACGGGGCACAGAGAGCTTGCGCCCCTTCGTCAGGACGTCTCGGGACGCCTTCTGGTCTCTCTTTGCACCTGCCTGCTGAGCGTTATCATCTTGCTAGTTTTCCTTTTGCCTTTTGAAATTTCAGCTGGTGAGCTTCTTGTCCTGAAAATGTCCTGAGATCATTTTTGTTCCTTTACCCCTGCCCCCCGCTTTTTTTCAAGGCTGAACTCCGAGCAGCTGTGTTTTTAGCGCTAGAGGAGCAAGAAAAAGTAGAGGTACGAAATCTACAAAGTTTAATGACTGTATTTGTTTATGTTTAATTTCTAATTACTTAAAAGCCACTCTAAAACAGTGTTTAGAGGAGTGTGTAGCCAGGGACAATTTTGAACTAAGGATTAAACTTCTTTACTGTTGGGAGAGGGTCAAGATTATTCTCTTTTCATGTATATTTTAGAGGTTTGGAGTCATCTAAAGAAAGTTAAGGCACCACAACTCTGAGGCCAATAGTAAATCTCATAGATCTCTTTCCCTAGGGGAAATCCAGAACACCTGAAGAAACTGTTTCACAGTAAGTGGGTTTACTGCGGGACCCCTTAGAACCTTTAATATGCTAATATGCACTGTGAATCCCCACCAGGTGGGAGGAATATCGTATGCAGCTTTTCTCCAAGTTATCCAGTCACCCAGTTATTTTATTTCATTTTATTATTTATTTATTTATTTATTTTTTGCAGTACGCGGGCCTCTCACTGTCGTGGCCTCTCCCGTTGCGGAGCACAGGCTCCGGACGCGCAGGCTCAGCGGCCATGGCTCACGGGCCCAGACGCTCCGCGGCATGTGGGATCTTCCCGGACCGGGGCACGAACCCGCGTCCGCTGCATCGGCAGGCGGACTCTCAACCACTCTGCCACCAGGGAAGCCCCACCCAGTTATTTTAAAATCATGTAGTGTTTCTTATGTCAAAGGTCCTGTCACTTCTCTCTGTATAAGTGTATTTAGTTTTTTCTCTCTACGGCACGTCCTGCCACCATCTTGAGTAAATATCCTGGAACCTGCTGTCAGCAAGCGTTACTCCATAATCAAGGCCTTCAGCTTCCTCTATGACAAATCAGCCTCTTCTCCTTCTCACTTTAGACCGAGATGCCTTGCTCCTCTTTCACTTCATGAAGGTTTTCACTTCTGTGTTTTTCCAGACATGTCTTCTCTTAGCTGCCTCTTGTTCTTAGCTGGTCTGGACCCCATGGTCCATATCTCAAAAATCCTCACTACCTCGGACTTCCCTGGTGGCGCAGTGGTTGAG